AAATCTCTGTGGGTTTCAGTCCAGTCTCATCTACAGGTCAAGTTCCTAGACAGCCAGGGCAACACAGAGAAATCTTGTTTTGTCAAATGCAGAGAAAAAAAGACAAGACAATTGATACCTTGTCAATTTGAAACACAACACTTTTTAAGACATAACCTTTTCTTTTTTAGTTCACTCTCAAGATGTCAGATTAATATCACAAATATAAAGCATATTACAAACTTAAAACTCCCATGGTCTCTACCAGTTCAAATAGTTCAAATGTTCAGTCTCTCAACTGTGAGCTCCTATAAAATAACAACAAAAAATAATCCCTACACTTTCTTCCTTCAAGAGGGAGGAACCTGGGTACAGTCACAATCTGAACAAAGCAAAACCAAAACGGAACAGTGTAAGTCACTCAGTGTCTCATTTCATGGAAGTTACGGTCTAGAGTCCTCCAAAAGGGCTGGGCCATGTCTCTGGATACGTCTTCTGCAGCACACAGCTTGCCTTCTAGTCTCAGGCATGATGCTCACTGGACTGTCATCTCTAAAGTGCTAGGAGCTCCCGCTGTAACCCTGCTTTGCCTTCATCAGTTGCCTTTCCTGGACTTTGTTCAGGGACTCCAGTCCTCCCACACAGGGCCAAGCCTCAGCCGCTCAGCGCGCCGACTCACTGCAGTGATGCTGGCTGCTTTTCAGTCACCGCTGGTCTCTGCTCCACCCCACCTGCACCCACTATCCCAGTAAAGCATAGTTTGACTTTAGGGACTCTGGTCTCCTATTAATCACAGCTGCTTGTTTGCCTGACCTGACCAGAGCCAGAGATTCTGCGCACAAATGGTCCACTGGAGTCTTTGCTTGCCTCTGAAACTTCCCAAGTCAGACCTCGATCATCCACTCTCAACACACTCATTCTCTGAGCTCCTACAGAGCAGCCCACTGAGTTAATTCATTCAGTGTCAAAGCCCATCCACAATCCTCCCCAAAACACATGGTCCGGTCTGTTATAGCAATGCCCCACTATCCTGGCAACAATTTCTGTCTTAGGTCAACACCGTGATCTAAAGCAACCTGGGGTGAAAAGGGTTGATTTGGCTTACACTTCTCCATGGTAGTCACTGAGTAAGGAAGGAACCTAGAGACAGGAACTGTTGTAGAAGCTATGGAGGATTGCTGCTTGCTGCCCTACTCCTCATGGCTTGCTCAATCTGCTCTCCTAGAATGGAGGGCTACCAACCCAGGGGTGACGGCACCTACAGTGGGCTGGGCCCTTCTCCGTCAATCATTGATTTAGAAAATGCTGTGAAGGCTTGCCTACAGCCCAGGCTTGAAGAGGCATTTTCTCAGTTGGTGGTCCCGCCTCTCAGATGACTCTAAATTGACATAAAATTAGCCAGCACACAGAGGTTGTAGTGGAAATGCCTAGATATAGTGAGTATGTGAAGGGGAGTGAGCTGATAGGGTTTTGTAATTGGTTCTGGATTTGAGAATTAGGCCTAGTTTATATTTGCTTATTCAGAGTTTAAAGAGATTTGGGTTCTTTTTGCTTGACTAGTGTAATTTTTGACTATAGATTCATCTAAATGATAATGGTGGTTTCCTGGTCGTGCCTATCTTCTGTGTTCATTAAATTTCCATGTTCTCTCATCCCAGAATCCATGTTATTTTGTGGTTTAGAATTGCTTTTAAAGAAAGCTTTTTCATTAAAAGGGGAAAAAAAGCCTTGATCTTTAAATAGTTGTAATCAACATTTCTCACTGACGTGAGCTGACTATATAAATTCCATTCCTTCGGCTATTGTAATACATGAAAATTAGGAATTTCCCCATAAAATATTAATAACTTCCTTTGTGGATATGAGTCAGGTGTACAGCTAACAGATTTTTTAGATAAAAGTTTTCAACACACTTGCTTTGTAACTTATTATAAAATACCTCACTTATTTGAGTGCTAGGTCAGTTGAGCTGAATTACACTCATTTCTGTATTGAAGACAGAAATGACAAGCTTCACTTACTGTTTATTTTGATGCAGGTGTGTAAAAGGGACGCCGTTGCTTCGGCCGTAATCCGAGTTTTCTTACCTCGTCTACTCTTGATCCTTTTTCTTTTTTCTGCGTCAGTCTTTCACTCGCAGTGAACTCAGTTAAATCCTTGGGTTTCAAAATTTCTAGTAGGAATTTTTTGTTTTAAAGAATCAGGTTCATCTTGATGTGAGGTCACAGCTCTGTTTGAGTGGCAAATGCATAAGTCTGTATGCCAGTCTGTCTGAGCTTTGGAGAACCCAAACAACTGTATGACTTTCTTATGGCATTGTGTTCTGTGGAGCGCAGTACAAAGCAAAGCTTGGCTTGCAGTTTGGCGCTTGTGGGACATGCAGACCCTGTGGTGTATGGGAAGCTTTCTCTTTGCTGCTTAAGAGCAAAATCAAGACTGTCTTCGTGTGTTCTACACAGATAGAGGAGGCTTTTCAAAGGAGAGACTGCTGAGCATGCCCAGCAAGCACATGGTCACATTATAAATGTGTGAATCAGTGAAAACTCTTATTTTAAAGGACTACTACTTTGGAGTAATGGTTGGCTGTTTTCCTCAATCTGTATATTGTTTATAGTGCTGACCTGTTAGTTCAGTTCACACTGAAGAGTCTTCATGGCATTTCCCTCCTGTGTGAGGATTTTGGAAGTGCTGACGCTGCCAGGAGCACGTCACTGGAAATGACACTCTCTCCCCTTCTGTTAAATTTCATTGGCTGCTAAATTGTCCTCTGATCAGCAGTAGGTCAGATATATTTCCGGTGTAATATTTGCATTTGTTAACTTTAGAGATTAAATTTCAAAACTTTAGAAAATTTTCTCCCATCTTCAGTTGCTCTGTGTACAGCAGAGTAGTACACAGTGTCATGATAGGACAGCCATCCCCAGTACTCGGTGTGCCCAGTCCGCTCTGTGCGCCACGTCCTGGTGGTGCAGTCCCCGGCCCTTGCTCTGCAGTTGATTTTTACACAGAGAGGGGGCCATTACGTTGTGAGATCTTTACTTTTTTTTTAACTTTAAAAACTAGCATGTTTGTTTTAAAATTTTAATTATATCTGTGTATTTGTGTGTGCATAATTAGTATTTGGGTTTCTTGGGGCATAGGGTATATGTAGGTGGAAGTCAGAGCCAACTTGAGAGGTGGTTTTCTTCTTTCACTTTCTGAATCCCAGGGACTGAGCTCAGGCGCCCTTTGTTGCCAGGCCTGTGCTTTACTCTGAATGTTTGTGTTGGGGTGATGGATGCTGTGGAATGCTTGTGAAGGTGAGAGGACAACTTGGGATGCAGGTATTTCCCAGTTTTCCCTGCTTCAGAACAGGCTGCAGACAGTGTAGACAGAATAGCTGGCTGGTACCTTTTTAGACATATGGCACTTTTCCAGTTAATTTTAAAATACAGTAAAGACTATCAAAATTTAATTGCATTATACTTTCGATAACAATAAACTGGCCAAAAATTATATGTTCATGTGCATTAAGCGTCTTTTTATTTTTGATACGGCTGGCCTGGAATTCCTTATATATGTAAAGAGTGAGCTTGGGGCTGGAGAGATGACTCAGTGGTTAAGAGCATTACCTGCTCTTCCAATGGTCCTGAGTTCAATTCCCAGCAACCACATGTTGGCTCACAACCATCTGTAGTGAGATCTGGTGCCCTCTCTGGCCTGCAGGCACACATGTAGGCAGATATTGTATGCATAATAAATGAATAAACATTAAAAAAAAGTGAGCTTGGGCTACAGGTGTGCACTGCCACACCTGACTTCTGCTGGGCAGGTTTCATCTATTATTATTATTATTATTATTGCATTGTGAAATGAATCTTTGAAGACTTCTGTGTGTGTGTTTGATCTTATTTTTTCATTTTCCTTCATATACAAAGGTCTGATGATAAATATATGTATCCCTGTGTCTAGTGACCTTAATAATTCTTGTATCAGCCACAGCAGTATCTATTGCCCAGGGACATTATATGTGTTTCCTCTTCACACTGTTGAGCTTTATATGCACACAACCAGGTTTTAAATAATGGAAGCTTTCTTTCCCATAACTGTTTTCATTTATGCATAGACCTAGCCTGCCTTGGAAAACTGAAGTTTTCACTTTCTGCTTAATGTTACCATCACATTAACAGTATATCTGACATTTATATGCATTATCTACTAATTTTATTTGTTTATTTGGAAGTCACTTTAATCTTTTTTAAAAATGTATTTATTTTTCTTTTTTGGTGTTCTGCCTGTTGGTATGTCTGTGTGAGGGTGTTGGATTCTGGAGTTTCAGACAGTTGTGAGCTGCCATGTGGGTGCTGGGAATTGAACTCAGGACCTCTGAAAGGGCAGTTGATGTTCTTAACTGCTGAGCCATCTCTTCAGGCCCTCATTTCAGTCCTTTAATCAGATTAAAGAAATATTTCTTACAAAGAACATGTTACTAATCTGTTCACAAAATCACAATCTTCTCCTTACTATTGATTCTACCCTATTCCCTGGCCTTGAACTCACAGAGATCTGCCCACCTCTACCTCTTGAGTGCCAGGATTAAAGGAGTGCGCCATCTGTCCGGGCCTAATCCTATATTTAAAAAAATGAGTAACCTTGGGTGGATTATTTTTATTTTGTGTGGTAAATTTTGAATGTCTTTTTTTCTCTCCCCCTCCCTCTTTACCCTCCCTTCCCCCTCCTCCTCCCCTCCCCCTCCCCCTCCTCCTTCTCTTCCCTCTCCTCCCCTCCCCCTCCCCCTCCTCCTTCTCCTTCTTCTCTCAAGACAGGGTTTCTCTGCGAAACTTTGGAGCTTTTCCTGAAACTTGTTCTGTAGACCAGGCTGCCCTCCATCCTACTCACTGAGACTCCTCTGCCTCCCAGTGCTGGGATTAAAGGCAATTGCCATCACTGCCCGACTTGAATGAATTTCTTAATGCTATGTGCTAAGAAAATGTTTGGTGTGCTGTCTTGTATCCTTTCTCAAAGTAATGTTTGTCTTTTAGTACAACACCACCGTACTGCTGTGTGGACCTGTATTCACTTCGTACTGGGGAAATGGTGAAGTCCATTCAGTTCAAAACACCCATTTATGATCTTCATTGCAATAAGCGGTAAGTATTTTTCATTATTTATTTTTAAATTGTAATGTGCCTCCTTGCCATGCAGAATTCTACCAATTTTGTAATTTCAAGTCATTGAAAAAAGTTTGAATTTCTTTCTAATGCAACAGTTAAGATTTCACATTGAATATTTCCCAACCTACCGACCTAACCATGAGTTTTCAGTGTGATGAAATATGAATGGAATTTGCATAAGAAAATGGAGGAGCACAGGCAGTATCTATGGGAATACAGGAAAGTCAAGTATAGGGGCAGTGTTTGTCTCTTCATATTCATTGCTGAGCGTCAGACCTGGCTTGTTGCATATGTTGCTTGGTAAGCATGTGACCATTAAATTTAAGCCAGAGCCCTTGAGTATTATTCTAGAATAATAATCCCATCCTCTAATTTTACATTGTTTCGATGCAAAGTCTTGACTTTTCACAACAGAATTAAAAATGGATTTATTAGATCCATTTTCCTTCTTTAAAATTTCTGGAAGATATTTAAATGTAGATTAAGCTACCTGAAATCTAGTGAATACTGACATATTAAGCACAGTCTCTTAGAGAAAAAAGAATCTTGGGAATTTAGTCTGTGCATCACTTTGCTTTTATAGGAGAGAAATCTGAATTTTTAGAATGAGAAAATATCCTGATGGAGTCTTAGGTACAAGGTTTAAATCTGCTTCCAAGAGCAAATGCACGAGGCAGGCAAGTGGCTCTATGAGCAGAAGAAGCTTCTGCTGTGTAAGCGTCGGGACTTAATTCAAACCCCAGAACCACAGGAAGTGCTGCGGGTGTCTGTCACGTGTATGGTTTCTTGGAGATCTGAAACTTCTCTTACCCTGAGCTATTTTTTTTGTTTTGTTTTGTTTTGTTTTTCGAGACAGGGTTTCTCTGTAGTTTTGAAGCCTGTCCTGGAACTAGCTCTTGTAGACCAGGTTGGCCTCTAACTCACAGAGATCTGCTTGGTTCTGCCTCCTGAGTGCTGGGATTAAAGGCGTGCGCCACCACCGCCCAGCCTCCATTCTTCACATTAATAGTTGATCATTGTTTTTACTTGAAATTAGTAACATTTACATAAGTAAATATTAGTGAGTACAATGGAAAAGATTTCACAATATACTAGTTAGTATCAGAAGCTATTAAAATCTTAGCAGAGATGCATAGAAACTGTATTCATTGATGTTTTTTTTTAGATACATGGGTACCCAGCACTTGGGAGGCTGAGGCAGGGCCCCGAATGTTAAAGGCAGTATAGGCTACATAAGGAGCATCCCCTTTCATCCTAAGAGGCTCTGGATTCGATAGTGGGTGTGGACAGAGCAAAGATAAAATTAAGAAAAAATCAAGAACTTTTTAATAGGTTTGGCAGCTTTCATGATTTCAGTGTTATTATTTAGTCTCTATTTGATTAAAATCATCTGTAATTTCTAGTAACAGGGGAAGAAGGCAAGTTGAGCAACTTGATAGAGAGCCGAACTTGGACCAGATACCTAAGCCATTTAGGCTTCAAAATTCTTCCTGGTACAAATTATATAGCCATATATCACTGGATATTAATCATTTTACTGGTATGATGTTTTTGTTTTGTTTCTTTTTCTTTTCTTTTCTTCTTCTTCTTTTTTTTTTTTTTTTTTGGTTTTGTTTTGTTTTGTTTTTTTGAGTCAGAGTTTCTCTGTGTTCCTTTGGAGCCTGTCCTGGAACTTGCTTTGTAGACCAAGCTGGCCTTGATCTCATGAATATCTAGTTGCCTCTGCTTCCAGAGTCCTGGGATTAAAGGGTGCACCACCACTGCCCGGCGGTGCTGGTATGAGTTTAGATAGTCTTTCGTTGAGACTTGCCCACTAGGTTGTTCTATTGGTTGCAGTCGTCTGGAGCATTAGTGTTTGGTCTGTGTGATGACTGTGGGTGTCTAGTGACTGATGAGGTGAGAAAGGTGTGAATTACCTTCCTTTTCTATCATCATTCTTGCACTTTTATTTTTACCTGTAGATTTTCTTTTATTGTTTCTGTTGGTAGAATGCGTGACTAAGTTGGTGTATCATTTGTGGTTTTAGACAGGGTACAGGCCGTGTTCATGCTCCCATGATACCCTTCAAACTGTTGGAATTACAGGTTTTCCTTCCCCTACTTCTGCTTCTCATATGTGTATGGTGTGTGCATGTGTGTGCTTGCGTGTGTGTGTTCTCGTGCCCATGAACATATGCACTCAAGGAGGCCTACAGTTGATGTTAGGAATCATCCACCAGCATTTTTGCACACTATTAGTTGAGGCAGGGTCAAGCTAGTCCTGGCTAGTCCAGACTAGCCAGACTAGCCAGACTAGTTCAAGCTAGTCCGTTCTGGCTAGTCTCAGTAGCAAGCTCCCTCTAGTGAGCTTCTTCCCCTCTGAAGCTGGAACTACGGAAAGGCTTCGATATGCATGTAGGTTTTGGGGATCCAAACTCAGGCCCTTGTGCTTCTGCAGCAAGTTTTTTAAATGCCAAGCTAAAAGCCTCCCATCTTCGCCTTTTATTTATTTATTTTTTAAATTTCAGTGCCCATTTGCTTATTTTGAGTTTCTGTTATTGGTTGTTTATGTTTTCTTACTCTGTGGTTATTTTATGCTGTGTTTTTTTTTTTTTTTTTTTTTTTTGGTGACTAGTATTCTGTTAGTGTTTATTTTTTCTTTGGTTACTATATGTATTCTGTGTATTTTTTTCATTTTTCTGCTTTAATTAAGGTACATTAAAAAGAATTCTTATAATTTTTTCTGTTTTTATATATGTTGACTTATTTATAATTTAACTTGATCATATTGTAGTTTCACTTTTGGTTTTATAGTTTTTATTTAAAATATTATGGACCATTGTGCAGCTCACCAGCCGTGTATCTGCTAGACATGGGCGGGCTTTGCATTGCATCAAACACAGAAATGATTTTCAGAGGTGAATTTCAGAGAGGGAAGTGGACACTCAAGTCATGAACATCCCTTTGCTCACAGAATTCAGAACTCTTTATTTGGTTCTGCTAATCATGTATGTGTCTGTCTGTCTTCGTGTGTATTTTGTTGCTGATTTTCTTCATATAGAATGTTACTGTATTTATAGTTTGTTATTGTCTCAAGCTGTTGATCCTCCTGCTGGGATCACAGGCATGCTTCTCCATACCTGTGTATGGAGAACAACAACAGGCTGTATTTCCTTTTAGTGTGCTTTGTTATTTGATTTTTTTAAATGGTGGATATTATGTGTACAGGAGCAATAGAGATGTTGGTACTTTCTTTGCTGGGAGTGTGAGGAATTGAAGAAAGGGAGACGGTTTGGGGCATCCTTTAGTGCTAGGATACAAATTAAATTTTCTGTTGAGTGTAAAGTTTTGTGTTGTGTCCTTGTGGGGAGACTGTCTCTGCCTCTAATGTGCACAGTGCACACAGAGCAATCAACACATTATTTACTTGGTAATAGAAGAAAATGTATCCAAGGATTGACATTCTCAACAGGCAGACTGAATAATAATAGCAGTAGCATAATAGGAGTAGTGATAGTATTTAGAATCCTTCTACTTCAGCAAATGAAAGTTTTCTACATTTCAAGACTCGTTTGCTGTCAGATGTTACACAAACAAACCTTACTATTTCTCCACCAGGTTTTTGCATGTGTTAGATTTTCCTGTTAAAATTTCCAAAAAAATTACGTGAATTACCTAGTAATAAGAATGATGTTTTATTGAAATAGTCACTAAGTGTGGAATTTGTTATTCTAGAAGAAATAGTCAGTATTTGGATTGTGTTATAGGAATTTTACTTTAGAACAGTAAAATCATAGCTTAATTATACAATCTGTAAATTCTTAATTATTCCCCTGGTTATTTGTAAATTTTGTTTTCTAAATTGTTTATAGAGATTGTTATTAATATTAATTTGTCAACTCTTTAGAAATGGCATATGCTGCGTGTCAGACTTCAGATTTTTTTCGGTGTGCTGAGAAATTCTGCAATCTTTTTAAGTGATAGATTACATAAAACCATTCATATTTAATTGTGACTTTAACTAGCATTGAACACCACATTTAGTAAGTAGCCTACTGGTTAATATTATCCATTCTTAGTGTTGTTTGTTTAATCAGAATTTGAAAGTGAAACTGTTCAGAGTTCAGTTATAGCTCTAGAATTTGTCACTTGGTTTGTATGAAAGATTTTATTGTTTTTATTCTCAGATTTTTGGAATCAGATATTTCTACCCTATGTATTAGAAATGTTTTATTTTAAAAGTATGATTTTAATTATTTATGATTCAATTCACAGAATTTTCATTCACTCATGTTTCCATTCTGGTTTTTCCCCTCTAATTTTAGGATCCTCGTCGTAGTCTTGCAGGAGAAAATTGCTGCCTTTGATAGCTGTACTTTCACAAAAAAATTTTTTGTCACAAGTATGTACCAAATCATTTTACTTCCTGTCTGTACGTTTGTGTTTCTGTTGCTGACTGGATGCTGTCAGCAGTGTGTTTCAGCCATGGTCTCTGCCCGTGATTCTCATGGGCGCCATTACTTCGTAACTTCTAATCTTAGAAGGAATTTTACCATGCCAAAGCACTTTCCTCTTATTTCTGTATAGAGTGTAAGATTTCTTTATATCCTCATTTCGGGTGCCCCTCCCTGTTTCCTGCAGCTGTGTTTGAGGCAGATCATTTAGCATGTCATCTGTAGTACAGAGGTGATTGCATTGTGCTCTATGAAGGAATTTAAACTTGGAAGGCTGTTTACCCTTCCTTTGCCTTTACCCCCTGATTTTCACTGCTGTCAGGAGCTCAGCAATCAGCCCGGAATCTAGCTAGAGCCGGTGTTCAAACACAAATTCAGCACTAGGTTTTGTAGAGAGGCAGAGGGTTGGGGTAGGAGGAGAAGTGAACGGGGAGCTAATTAACTTTAAGGAACTGGAATGTGAGACCTGGCATGCCGAGTTGTGAAGGACAGAGACGATCTGGAAATGCCAACAGGGATCAGTTAGCTGTTCAAAATGCCCGTCGTTCTGGAATACAGAATGTCTTTTGAATTTTATTTTTCCTGCAACCCAGTAAAATAATAGTTCCCCCCATTTGTTCTCTCTCTCTTTTTTCCACCAAAGAGTCTGATATATATATATATATATATATATATATATATATATATATATTTCTCACAGAAATAGCTTAGTGGGTTTCCATTTTGAAATGAAATACGATATGGAGTACACAGACTTTTACTGAGTAGCTACTTCATATTATTGAGCCTCAGGTAGTAATTCATATAGATATTATCCCTTTCCTATAAGGTCAAGTTCTCTGTTATATCTGCATTAGGTATTAGAGATAATTATCTGCACCCTATACTACACATCATACTATATAATATGGTTATATAATATTCAATATGGTTCTTGTTTCACCTTTTGTGGAGCATGAAGAATTGTAAATCTAGGCCATCCCTCCAAGACCTTAATCCTTTTTTCTGAGTTGTTCCCCTTATGCTCAGTCCATCACCTTGTTCATGCCTCTGCTTTGGGAACAGGCAGGCAGTGAAGCGCCTGGAGTCCTGCATGGTGCAGATGAGTTAGACAGAGCACAGTTGGACACCTCAGTCACATCCGGGCTTTTCCTGTGGATTTGTCATTCCATTTCAGCAGTGGTTTTTAGTTTGTGTTTTTAAATTTTTTTGTTATTTGATATTGATTACAAATAAGGTGTGAAGGCTTCTTCAGTACTAAGTATCTCTGTTGGTGACCCCATTTTTGTTTGTTTGTTTGTTTGTTTTGATTTTTGAGACAGGGTTTCTCTGTGTAACTTTGGAGCCTTTTTTGGAACTAGCTCTGTAGACCAAACTGGCCTCGAACTTAGAGAGATCCTTTTGCCTCTTGCTCCAGAGTGCTGGGGTTAAAGGTGTATGCCACCACAGCCAGGCAGGGTTTTTTCTTTTCTTTTCTTTTCTTTTCTTTTCTTTTCTTTTCTTTTCTT